CAGATTTGTGTGTAAAGTTTTGAAAAAAAGAGGCAACGTTTTGAAAATGTGTGCAAGCAACTGTAATGCCTGGATTAGGTCCATGCGATCATGCAGTGTTCATTTCTCAAATCAAAAAGCATGCATATGAGAGTAATATCTCTGTTCGACGGCAGTGAGATCAGTGCGTGTTGTTCTGTAGATCCAGAAGAGGCAGTCGAGCGGCAGCATGGATGACCGACCGTCTCTGTGGGCGCGGGATTACGTCCAATCTCTTCATCAAAACTCCAGAGCCACGCTGCTCTTCGGGAAAAACAACGTCTTGGTGCAGCCGGTAAACGTTACTTAGACGTGCGTGACGATGCTGTGGTGCTTTAATTAAAGTGTGGCAATAAATCTCATGCGGTCTTTCAGACAGACGACATGGAAGCAATCCTAGGATACCTCTCTCTTCATCAGACGGCCGATCTGATGACACTCAAATGGACACCGAACCAGCTGATGAACGGAAACATGGGGGAGTTTGATTATGAGAAAAGGTGACGTGTGTTATGATTGTGACGTCTGCTTTGTGGGAATGATTGTAAATCAAGTCTCATTTCTCCACAGTGTATATTGGGATTATGCCATGACCATTCGTCTGGAGGAAATCGTCTATTTGCACTGCCATCAGCAAGGTGAATATTTTAAAATATGACCTTATAAATAAAAATCTAATTTTAAATTCAAAACATAAGAATGAAAAAAAAAAATTAACACAGTCCTGAATTGCTTCAAAACCAACTAAAATGAAATAAAAATGGCCATTAAGTATGTTTTAGTTTTTTTGTTTTGCAGGATAGAACATCAACTAAATTGTTATTGTAGTAGCCTATTATTATGATACTATTATGGTTTTTATTCATATTTTGACTTTTTATTCTTTCTAATATTTAATTCTTTGTACTCTTTAATATTTTGTTTTATTCATTTTTATATTTTTTGTAATTTTGTTTTGTTATTTTACTATTTCTGTTTTTTTACAAGCCTTTTTTTAAAAATGTTTTAAATTTTATTTGTTTTATTTATTTTAGTACAACTAAATTAAAATGAGAAATGTTGCCTGTGCAACTAGACGAAATAAAAAGATAAAAATTTTTATATTTCATTTTATTAAATTTTTTCTCCAATAACAATTTTTTTTAAATTGGTTTTAGCAATATATTGCATATATCAACACTGAGCATATTTAACCCCTTAAAGCCTGACACATGAAATAATAGAATAATCCAAAAAAAAAAAAAGTTTGCATGTGTTTTTGTTGAGAATCATATTTGATCTATTGAGGTCGATGAATGTTAGGTGAGCATATGGATGTCCTGCTCAATGTACTAGATTACCACACAGACCAGCCGTTAATGATTTGTCCATCACGGACTGCGTGATTTCGCCACTTCGTGTGGAATTTTTTTTTTTCTGCGACTAATGAAATTTTGGTCGACCAAGCCTCTTCTCGTCGACTAACGGTTAGTCAACTATTAGGGGGCAGCTCTAGCTATTACAGTCATTCTTCAGCAGTTTGAATAAGAAACGAGATCATTCTGTGTTCTTCCTCAGGGAAAAGTGTTTCCAAAGCTGCGTAAAAGTCGTCCACATGAATCCAGCGAGTCGTTCTCGGACAAAGAGGAAGACGAGGCCACTGATTATGTGTTTCGGATCATATTTCCTGGCAGTCAGGAGTTTGGTATGTTAACGTGAAGTTGATCTGCTAGTATTAAGATGTTCTCAAACAAGATTATTATAGATAAACTAAAACTAAAATGTTTTTTTTTAATGACCTCATAAATGGACATAAAAATTTTAAATTCAAAACGTAAGAATTAAAACAAAAATGTAACCAACACGGTCCCAAATTGCTTCAAAACTAACTAAAATGAAATAAAATGGTCATAAAATATATTTTAGTTTTGTTTTGTGCTGGATTGAACAAACTAAATTGTTATTTTATGGTTTTATTAATATTTTAACTTTTTATTTTTATATTTTCATTTTAAATTGATTTGAATTTTTAGTAATTTTGGTGTGCTTTGTTATTTTAAAACTTTTGTTTTTTAAATGTTTTGAATGTATTCATTTTTAATTAAATGCGTTTATGAATTTTATTTGTGTTAGTTATTTTAGTACATCAGGTTAAACTAAATTAAAATGAGAAATGTTGCCTTTGCAAAGTAGATAAAATTTAAAAAAAGGTCACATTTTTATATTTTATTTTCAAAGACTGATTTTTTTTAAATGGTTTTAGTTAACTATAATAACTACAAGTCTTCAGCGCCATCTACTGGCCAAATTCATAGCATGTTTTTAAAGTTCCCAAGACCGTTTACATTAAATATTATTGTAAATATACATATCTACAATAATATAAATAAATATTATAGACCTATATATATATATATTTTCTAATGTAGTAAATTTTACAAATTTGATAAATATTTTTAGATGGATATCATTGGCAATAGTAGATTTGTATATTTTTTCATTTGCCCCATATTAGTTTTTCTTTCATACTGTGAAAGCAGTTCATTTCAATGTATGAAAGAAAAATCAACCTTTTTCTTGTTTGTTTATACAAAACAGTATAGTTTGAATTCTATACACATCTTCATTTCAGGTAGAACATACACATTTTATTTTTCATATGGGTTTCCATCTGACTGCTCTCTGTGTTCACACTGGTCGTGAATATGATGCTAATTGGCTTTCTGCATGTTAAAGTGGCACCGGAGCTGATGGATCAGACGGTGAACATGTGGCAGCCCACGCCTAGGAAGTCGTCTTGTTCCTCCTGTTTGCAGAGCGGCTCGTCGGACGGCGGCCTTCCCAACGGATGCAACCATGACAGGCTAGTCTGCCGCTCGTCTGAGTCTGTGATGTGAATTAAAGGGGTCATGACATGGATTTTTTTGTTATTTTAATAGGTTCCTTGAGGTTTACTTATGATGTTAATAAAGTTTTTTGCACAACAAATAATTATTTTCAACCCTCATTCTGAACCTCTCTCAGAAACAGGCTGTTTTTAAGGGGCGGGTCCTTTAAGGCTTGTCAGTATTCGGCCACTGTTATGATTGGCTAACATCACTGCATAGGAAACTATGGAAGCCCGTTTCCGCCACTGAATAAAAAAAAAAAAGGA